GGTGAAAAGTTAGCGAAGGGTGGTGAAGAGTTAATATTCCACTTTATCCATAGACAATGTACATGGCGCTATAGGGTGGTGAAAAGTTAGCGAAGGGTGGTGAAGAATTAATATTACACTTTATCCATAGACAATGTACATGGCGCTAAAGGGTGGTGAAAAGTTAGCGAAGGGTGGTGAAGAGTTAATATTCCACTTTATACATAGACAATGTACATGGCGCTAAAGGGTGGTGAAAAGTTAGCGAAGGGTGGTGAAGAATTAATATTCCACTTTATACATAGACAATGTACATGGCGCTAGGGTGGTGAAAAGTTAGCGAAGGGTGGTGAAGAATTAATATTCTACTTTATCCATAGACAATGTACATGGCGCTAGGGTGGTGAAAAGTTAGCGAAGGGTGGTGAAGAGTTAATATTCCACTTTATCCATAGACAATGTACATTGCGCTATAGGGTGGTGAAAAGTTAGCGAAGGGTGGTGAAGAGTTAATATTCCACTTTATCCATAGACAATGTACATGGCGCTAGGGTGGTGAAAAGTTAGCGAAGGGTGGTGAAGAGTTAATATTCCACTTTATCCATAGACAATGTACATGGCGCTAGGGTGGTGAAAAGTTAGCGAAGGGTGGTGAAGAGTTAATATTCCACTTTATCCATAGACAATGTACATGGCGCTATAGGGTGGTGAAAAGTTAGCGAAGGGTGGTGAAGAGTTAATATTCCACTTTATCCATAGACAATGTACATGGCGCTATAGGGTGGTGAAAAGTTAGCGAAGGGTGGTGAAGAGTTAATATTCAACTTTATCCATAGACAATGTCCTTGGCGCTAGGGTGGTGAAAAGTTAGGGAAGGGTGGTGAAGAATTAATATTCCACTTTATACATAGACAATGTACATGGCGCTAGGGTGGTGAAAAGTTAGCGAAGGGTGGTGAAGAATTAATATTCCACTTTATCCATAGACAATGTACATGGCGCTAGGGTGGTGAAAAGTTAGCGAAGGGTGGTGAAGAGTTAATATTCCACTTTATCCATAGACAATGTACATGGCGCTAGGGTGGTACAAAGTTAACGAAGGGTGGTGAAGAGTTAATAATCCACTTTATCCATAGACAATGTACATGGCGCTATAGGGTGGTGAAAAGTTAGCGAAGGGTGGTGAAGAATTAATATTCCACTTTATCCATAGACAATGTACATGGCGCTAGGGTGGTGAAAAGTTAGCGAAGGGTGGTGAAGAGTTAATATTCCACTTTATCCATAGACAATGTACATGGCGCTATAGGGTGGTGAAAAGTTAGCGAAGGGTGATGAAGAATTAATATTCCACTTTATCCATAGACAATGTACATGACGCTAGGGTGGTGAAAAGTTAGCGAAGGGTGGTGAAGAATTAATATTCCACTTTATCCATAGACAATGTACATGGCGCTATAGGGTGGTGAAAAGTTAGCGAAGGGTGGTGAAGAGTTAATATTCCACTTTATCCATAGACAATGTACATGGCGCTAGGGTGGTGAAAAGTTAGCGAAGGGTGGTGAAGAGTTAATATTCCACTTTATCCATAGACAATGTACATGGCGCTATAGGGTGGTGAAAAGTTAGCGAAGGGTGGTGAAGAATTAATATTCCACTTTATCCATAGACAATGTACATGGCGCTATAGGGTGGTGAAAAGTTAGCGAAGGGTGGTGAAGAATTAATATTCCACTTTATCCATAGACAATGTACATGGCGCTATAGGGTGGTGAAAAGTTAGCGAAGGGTGGTGAAGAGTTAATATTCCACTTTATCCATAGACAATGTACATGGCGCTAGGGTGGTGAAAAGTTAGCGAAGGGTGGTGAAGAGTTAATATTCCACTTTATCCATAGACAATGTACATGGCGCTATAGGGTGGTGAAAAGTTAGCGAAGGGTGGTGAAGAATTAATATTACACTTTATCCATAGACAATGTACATGGCGCTAAAGGGTGGTGAAAAGTTAGCGAAGGGTGGTGAAGAGTTAATATTCCACTTTATACATAGACAATGTACATGGCGCTAAAGGGTGGTGAAAAGTTAGCGAAGGGTGGTGAAGAATTAATATTCCACTTTATACATAGACAATGTACATGGCGCTAGGGTGGTGAAAAGTTAGCGAAGGGTGGTGAAGAATTAATATTCTACTTTATACATAGACAATGTACATGGCGCTAGGGTGGTGAAAAGTTAGCGAAGGGTGGTGAAGAGTTAATATTCCACTTTATCCTTAGACAATGTACATGGCGCTAGGGTGGTGAAAAGTTAGCGAAGGGTGGTGAAGAATTAATATTCCACTTTATCCAGAGACAATGTACATGGCGCTAGGGTGGTGAAAAGTTAGCGAAGGGTGGTGAAGAATTAATATTCCACTTTATCCATAGACAATGTACATGGCGCTAGGGTGGTGAAAAGTTAGCGAAGGGTGGTGAAGAATTAATATTCTACTTTATACATAGACAATGTACATGGCGCTAGGGTGGTGAAAAGTTAGCGAAGGGTGGTGAAGAGTTAATATTCCACTTTATCCATAGACAATGTACATGGCGCTAGGGTGGTGAAAAGTTAGCGAAGGGTGGTGAAGAGTTAATATTCCACTTTATCCATAGACAATGTACATGGCGCTATAGGGTGGTGAAAAGTTAGCGAAGGGTGGTGAAGAATTAATATTCCACTTTATCCATAGACAATGTACATGGCGCTATAGGGTGGTGAAAAGTTAGCGAAGGGTGGTGAAGAATTAATATTCCACTTTATCCATAGACAATGTACATGGCGCTATAGGGTGGTGAAAAGTTAGCGAAGGGTGGTGAAGAGTTAATATTCCACTTTATCCATAGACAATGTACATGGCGCTAGGGTGGTGAAAAGTTAGCGAAGGGTGGTGAAGAGTTAATATTCCACTTTATCCATAGACAATGTACATGGCGCTATAGGGTGGTGAAAAGTTAGCGAAGGGTGGTGAAGAATTAATATTACACTTTATCCATAGACAATGTACATGGCGCTAAAGGGTGGTGAAAAGTTAGCGAAGGGTGGTGAAGAGTTAATATTCCACTTTATACATAGACAATGTACATGGCGCTAAAGGGTGGTGAAAAGTTAGCGAAGGGTGGTGAAGAATTAATATTCCACTTTATACATAGACAATGTACATGGCGCTAGGGTGGTGAAAAGTTAGCGAAGGGTGGTGAAGAATTAATATTCTACTTTATACATAGACAATGTACATGGCGCTAGGGTGGTGAAAAGTTAGCGAAGGGTGGTGAAGAGTTAATATTCCACTTTATCCTTAGACAATGTACATGGCGCTAGGGTGGTGAAAAGTTAGCGAAGGGTGGTGAAGAATTAATATTCCACTTTATCCAGAGACAATGTACATGGCGCTAGGGTGGTGAAAAGTTAGCGAAGGGTGGTGAAGAATTAATATTCCACTTTATCCATAGACAATGTACATGGCGCTAGGGTGGTGAAAAGTTAGCGAAGGGTGGTGAAGAATTAATATTCTACTTTATACATAGACAATGTACATGGCGCTAGGGTGGTGAAAAGTTAGCGAAGGGTGGTGAAGAGTTAATATTCCACTTTATCCATAGACAATGTACATGGCGCTATAGGGTGGTGAAAAGTTAGCGAAGGGTGGTGAAGAATTAATATTACACTTTATCCATAGACAATGTACATGGCGCTAAAGGGTGGTGAAAAGTTAGCGAAGGGTGGTGAAGAATTAATATTCCACTTTATACATAGACAATGTACATGGCGCTAAAGGGTGGTGAAAAGTTAGCGAAGGGTGGTGAAGAATTAATATTCCACTTTATACAGAGACAATGTACATGGCGCTAGGGTGGTGAAAAGTTAGCGAAGGGTGGTGAAGAATTAATATTCTACTTTATACATAGACAATGTACATGGCGCTAGGGTGGTGAAAAGTTAGCGAAGGGTGGTGAAGAGTTAATATTCCACTTTATCCTTAGACAATGTACATGGCGCTAGGGTGGTGAAAAGTTAGCGAAGGGTGGTGAAGAATTAATATTCCACTTTATCCAGAGACAATGTACATGGCGCTAGGGTGGTGAAAAGTTAGCGAAGGGTGGTGAAGAATTAATATTAACCTTTATACATAGACAATGTACATGGCGCTATAGGGTGGTGAAAAGTTAGCGAAGGGTGGTGAAGAGTTAATATTAACCTTTATACATAGACAATGTACATGGCGCTATAGGGTGGTGAAAAGTTAGCGAAGGGTGGTGAAGAGTTAATATTCCACTTTATCCATAGACAATGTACATGGCGCTATAGGGTGGTGAAAAGTTAGCGAAGGGTGGTGAAGAATTAATATTACACTTTATCCATAGACAATGTACATGGCGCTAGGGTGGTGAAAAGTTAGCGAAGGGTGGTGAAGAATTAATATCCCACTTTATCCATAGACAATGTACAACACGCTAGGGTGATGAAGAGCTGCCCTCGTATAATTATGATGATCGAGATGATGAAAAATTAGATACGTATAGAAATAAGTGCATGACGGTGAAATCACTTTCTGTAATTAGGTAAGAGTTGATATTATACGCCCTTTTTTCCCGATAGAAAATGTATATGGCTTGCTAATGATGGCCGTAAAGCCTAAAGTCAAAAGAAGAATATAATGTAGGCATATATACGCTTGCTTATCAGGGATGGCGATTCTAAATTAAAAGATTAAAACTGCTCTACATGCGGCCTCCGTTCTTTGACTTTTACCCCCCCCCCTCCATCCTCCTCTTCCATACTATATCCATCCGTCTCCTGGTTGTAAATCAGCAATCACTGCGCTGACGCCTGGAGGATACACAAAGCATTATATTGCGTGCAAGCGGTTGTACAATGCGATCCTTACCATTCACCAAATTGGCAATTTTTACACATTGGTGAACGTTGATGGGCTACCTTCATCTCCGATTAGGTGTGTGAAGAAAAGCTTCACCCACAATATCGCGTGGCACCGTACGTGATCCTGATCCTGAAAGCTGTAAAAAATTGACTTTGAATCATCCATTATCCATATAGGGTCAATTTATTTAGAAGATGAATCCTTCACAAGAACTACTCAATATTGGGGAGAAAAATATTCAGGGTAAGTGCTTGAGCTTGAGTGGCTAACTCAAGATTTAAAAATTATAATACCGATACTGGGAGGAAATTTTTTACCGGTCTCACTTTAACACCAGGCCAGCGCCAGGGATCCTCCGGTGTTCGCTGTGCGCTGACCGCTACTGATCTCGGGCTGTAGCTCGATCCAACGTGATGTGATGTGATGGTGATGTGATCCTGGCCTAGTGTACTTTCGTGTCCATTTTTGATCCGTAACTCAGGCGTGGAGATATTCCACTAAAACATACCCAAAATGAAGTAAATATTCATCGAATGTTTATATAATTATAAAGAACATGAGTTAAAATTTGTTATGTTTATTACCTGTTTCGTGTAAATTTTTCTTGTTATTTTTGGAGTATTTTTCGGAAAAATGTTGATATTAGTATACACTTTTTCACAGGTTTCATGGCAAACCATTGCACAATACAAGTGCATGCTGATGGTGGGTTGCAGACGAGCGCGCCTGTGTGAAGTTATCTACCGTAATGATCATGAGGATCTGATACATGAAAATGCGGACGATCCTGATTTTTCAGGACGCGTCTGTCCGCGTTTACGAAGACGATCTTTATTCTCGGACCAGCGCCACTACTGGTTCGAGCTTCTAATATCATGATTTTTACATTTTTTGTGGTTCATATCCTACAGATTCCTTACTGATCAAGAAAAGTAAACCATTCAAGATGGGGCCTTCATCAGGTAGGTTTTTTTTTAATTTACAGTGTGATTTTAAATTTCATTTTTGGTGACACTTTCGCAAAATCTTGTTTTTAATCACAAAATTGTTAATTTTATGTGGGCTGTTCACCATACACTTCTAATGCAAGACACTCTAGAAATTTGATTTAGCCAGCTCATATACAGAACATCTTAGGACTTTTAATTTTGAAAGGAAATCATGGCTATGGTGGCTTAATACTACTACTAGACATAGCCAAAATAATAACATTCCCATTAAGCCAAAGTCTATCATTAATTTTAGAAACCACTTGGGATTTTCATCTCACTCTCCACTCTACTCTACTCTAGTCATGATCACCTGTCATAATTTACTGAAACATTACACAACAATTGAACCATGGCAAGCTAATATTTAATTGAATTGTCTTCTCCTTCTTCTTCTTTTTTGTCTTTTCTCCTTCTCCATCTCCCTTTTCTATCTCCCTTTTCTATCTCCCTTTTCTATCTCCCTTTTCTATTACATTATGCTCTCTCTCTCCTGTTGTATTTGCATGACAATTGAGTTTAAAATACAAACTCATTGCACCAGCCACCAAAGCTATCCAAGTATAATTATACAATTTGTTATAACTAATGAAGACCTTGTATTTGTTGTAATCTATTGGTATTACAGTACTGGGCAGAGTGAAGTCTTTTTTACCACAAATGGAGGTGGCCAACAAGCAGCTTGAAGAGAAGATAGCGGATGGTGCCATGGAGGACCTAGACATTGAAAATGTTGATGATTGTGAAGGACCCATCATTGAAATGGTATATATTCTGAATAACTGCAGTATTGCACTATAACTGTATTCAGGGCTTTGATGTATTTTAAAAGAGAAACATACTTTACATAGACAAAATGTTATTATTCATCATTATGCATGCAGTTAAAGGTGAAGACCAGTTCTGGAAACGCCCCCCTCTCAAGAAATGAAATGGAAGCTGTTATTACCAATCATGTGAAAGACTATGTTTTGACTAATACGTGATGATAAACATTTGCTAGGAAACCGCCTACTAATTGATATTTATTTGGTAAATTATTATATCTATCCGGACTGGATAGATATAGGGTAGTCCCATATACATCTTTCTGTGTACAGTGCTCGAAACTTTACCAAGACTGGGCCAAATTTCTTATCATTTTGATGATTCCAAAAACTTGCAGTACACACCAATACTTATATGCTAGATGGTCAACCTTTTCTGATCGATTCCACAACGTTTCTTTCACAATGCAATCGCATGACCAGAACTGGTCTATACCATTAAGTTCATTTTAAGACGGTCACTGGCAATCTAAAAGCAACCAGTAAATTAAGTGTTATAATTTAAATGTGATGAATTAAATTTCAATCAGATATTTGTGAATAATCAATATAAATTTCAAAAAATAGGGAGAAGAGATGTTAGAGAGAGGGTGACGATTGAAAAGAATACTCCCCTCTCCAAAGACATGTTAATGTTTGACCAATTGTTCACAAAATATTGTTGATTTATTGTTTAATTGATATGTGTATTTCTCCTAGAGTTTGAGAGAACCAAGAAAACTAGCTTTGAAGTGTATCTCTTATTTAAAGATAACTGCACTAAGTGTTCAGCTGTCTTGTACACTTATACCTATGTATTTCATCACTAAGCATATCATTTTTTGGGGTATCAACTATCAAGTTGGAATTTGTTCATTACGATGTAATTGGTGCAGACTTGTGAACTACATCCTTGGTAGACTATCGGAAGTGGCCCATGAATTATTTTGGTAGTACAGGTAGATAGTAGATCCAATCTAATGCTTGTTATTTTCTGTCTTTTACTTATCCAGAACCTTGCCTTGTGTGCACATGATGAAAATTCAGATGACGAGGAGGAGGAGGAAAGTGAAGAAGATGAGAGTGACAGTGACGAGGACAACCGTGTAGGACTGAAATATGACAAGTCAGATTTAGGAGATGCTACCCTCTCAGAACTCAAGCTACCTGGTAAAGGAAAGAAGCCTAAAGATGGAAGGACATTGATTGAAGTGATGCCGGGAGAGTTGTCGGATGATGTAGGATGTAATGAAGGTGATAAGACATAGCTTTATGGAAATGGAATATTGATGCACAAACTTTCATGCAGAGGAGAGAGTGCTCGTTGAAGAAATTCCAAAGACGCTCTTCAATCCAAAGCCAACCGGTTTCAAAAGTTATATCTGAAATGAATATCATTATATCACTAGGTAACATTATGGTTCCCTGTTGTAGTGTTTTAGATTTCATCTTGATACAACCAGTGGTATAGGATCAATCTTTATGATTCTGAATTTCAAAGAAGAGGACAATGTCTTCGTCCAAACATTCAATACAAGTTTGAAATTCAGAAAGGATTTGATGCCGACAGCACTTAAAAGGGTTGAACTTCTGGATAGATTCCTCAAATACTATCCTGTGAGGAAAAGAACTCAATGGGCAACTGTATAACAAAACAAGACAAAAAAATGATTTAGACTGAATTACATAATCACATATGATACATACTATTTAAATTTGGGCAGAAAAGGTATTATGTCCTGTGAGTTACCAAAATCATTTCTTTCTTTCCATTAAGTTGACATTAATATGACTAGAGCTTGTATCATACAAAATGAGAAAAAAATAGCATTTACACTTTACAGTGGATTCTCGTTGTAACAATTGGGACCAAAGAAATTACCTTGTTATATTAAGAATCTTGTTATATCAGGGTAAAAAATAATAATATAAAGAGTTGGAACCAGCCTTGTTATAACAGATACCTCCTATATCAGAGCTCCTCATAATTTGGTTCGACTGAACAATTTTATTTCCTGTTACTATTCATCTTGGACTTCATTTTTGTCTCGCCTGCGTAGCAAAAAGCGAGACATAGGCGCCGCTTTTCTGGTGGCAGCGTCAACATCAAAAACTTAACCTAAGGTTAAGTTTTTGAATTTGTAGTATTATTTTGATAGTATAAGTTCTCATTCAATGAAACTTGGACTATAGGGTTATCAAGTATTCCCAATTATGTGGGTAGAATTTCAGGTCACAAAATCAAGGTCAAAGGTCATTTCAGGTCAACAGACTTAGACTATGTTGTGGCATCATCATCAAAAACTTAACCTCAGGTTAAGTTTTTTGAATTTGTAATATAATTTTAAAAAGTATAAGTTCTTATTCAATGAGACTTACACTAAAGGGTTATCAAGTATCCCCAATCATGTGAGTAGAATTTCAGGTCACTAAGTTAAGGTCAAAGGTCATTTCAGGTCAAAAAACTTAGACTGTTTTGTGGCATCAACATCAAACAAAATTTTGAATTTTTAGCATAATTTCAATAGTGTTTGTTCAAATTCCATGAAACTTGTACACAAGGATTATCAAGTATCACAAATCTTATGGCACAAATTCCAGGTCTCAAAGTCAAGGTCAAAGGTCATTTTAGGTCAGTATGTGAGGATAAATCAATCAATTGTTGTTAATTTTTCATATTCCATCAAAGTTATTAATCTTGGTACAAATTATAGTAAATAATTCTTCCGATGACTCTTGGTCAATATTTACTTCAAAATGCTGAATATATTCAGAGGATTTAATTGGGGGGAGGGGGGGGGGGGCTGCTAATGGACCACTCTGTCTATGAATAATGTCCCAACCTCAATTTTTCATAATATTGAATTGCGTAATGCAGGCGAGACCGCCGAGAGCGTTTCCCTTGTTCTTATTTGTATTAACATATGGAACAGCAAATAATCAATTACCATGGATTTGCCCATCCTCCATACCAGTGTAGAAGTTGATACTTACCGGTAGTTTGAAACATCAGTACCGGTATGTCAAAACTAGTCAAAATTTTCAAAAATCATTTATTTTGGTGCCAAGTATATTTGTTTTATAAAGTGTACACTTTATGTATCATCGCTAATTAAATATTGCTACCTAATGTGTATTTTTAAACCACATAGTTTGGAGTATGCTCAACATGTTTTCAAATTGTGTTTGATTGACAGGATAAGTACTATATGAAATGATATGGAATTGACGGTAAAGGAGACATCATTAGAGAGAGTGAAAGAGTCGGCCGTGTAGGGAAAAAACAGAGTGGGAGAGAAAGAGGGTTCAACTAATTAGTAAGTTGAAGGTTGAGAGGTATGGAAGAGCATCAAAAGAGCATCAGAAGATAGAGAAGTGTTGATAATAATGCACTTTATATCACCGAAGAAGTTAAACAATAAATAACTATGTTTGAAATTTTGTCAATATCAGATCCTCCAGAAGACTGGGAAGAATGGTGAGAGATTATCCAAAGTCGAACAATAAATTTGACATAGAATCAGAGAGAAAGGGAGAGCAAGATAAGATTACTGAATGGTAGTTCAAGAAGAGTCGATGATGAGAGATATAGTAAAAGTATCAGTGAGATGAACTAAAGATAAGATGTATACCGATAATCGGCAAAGAGCGAGAAAGAGAGAGTGGCAGGGGCCAGCAAAGCATAGTATCAGGAATGAAACATGAAAGATATCATAAGATTTGAGGAACTTAAAGACAGACATAGAGAAAGAGGAAATTACTAGTGGTTGTGTTTTCCGAATTGGCGAGTTTATCTCTGTCTCACACTGCCTCTTCAACTTTTGTTCACACATTTCTCTCATTCATACTTCATAGACAGCGGACACAAATAATTCTGAGGTTTGAACTCCATATTTTGCATAAATAAACTCTTTATAGTGAAGACAGTTTTTGATTTTGTTCAAGACCTCTCACATCGTTTGGATAGAAGTTAGTTTAAAAATACACGTACATGTACAATCAAATTTTACAGGACCTTATAAAGCACTGTGAAATGCAGAGTATCATGTAATACATAGATACATGTACATGTACTAAATGAAATTCCTATCAATTCTGTCTCCCATTCTCCGCTGGTATTTCTTACAGTTAATCTCATAGAGAGAAGTTCTCTCTTTCATGATGTCATCATTCCAAACACTCTGACTTTCATTCTCCACTCTGCTGTTTCTTCCAGTTCATCTTGTAGAGTGATGATCCTCATTCATGATGTCATCAAGTCTCAAGCCTTTCTGTTTTCAACTGTCTACTTTAGTATTTCTCCTATGTAAGTCATCTTGTTAGAGATGATCTTTGTTTCATGATATCCACATCTTCCAAATCATCCTGTCTTCCACTCTCCACTCTGGTATTTCATCCAGTTCATCTATGAGTGTGATATTCCTAGTTTGATCATGTCATCAACTGCTGAGCCATTCTGTTTTCCATTCTCCACTCTGGTATTTCTTCCAGTTCATCTCGTAGAGCGACGGACCTCGTTTCATGATGACGGCACTGCCTAGGCATTCATCGCCCAGGTAGAACACAGCATACTGAAACAAAGATGAAAGTACATGTATGATTAAAAGTCATGTGTATTGTCAAAACATGTTATGTATCACACATCAAACATCCTTTTCATCAAATTCCATTCTCTTGAAAAGCAACTGAATAATGGCAATCACAAAATGTATACACCCACCTGTGAGTTGTGACAACCAAATGTATATCTTTTTAGGATTGATTTAAATCATGCAAAGAATTATTTTAAAAAGAAGTTTTAAACTAGTGAATATCAGGAACTAAAATGGAAAAAAATGAATGCATTAGTTTGCGATACACCACTTCAATATGGGAAGATTTCCTTGTCACATACCTGGCCTGGTGTTAGCGCCCTCATTGGTTTACTGAGAGAAACAATAACAGAGCCCATGGAACTCAAGGTCAAGGTACATTTTGCTGAAAGAAAGAGCATGTAGAATATTAGTCCTATCTATTTCATGAAAATACTACAAATGTTGAGAATAGGCTCAGTAGACAAATTCAGCAGACGATCATGAGCAATAAAACTAGACCATAACTTTAAATTTTAAAATTAAAAAAACAGGACTCTTTCCAGTTTCTGAAGGAAAATAGCCAATAGGGATATGTAATTTAAAACAAATTATATTGCACACACATCTACTACAGAAGTTGCTCAAAGTGCAGCCCTCAATCATGAAAGTACATAACCAGTAACTTCCTACCAGATCAATATTCATTAAACCTGGGTTAAGAGTGGCAAATGTAAATGAATGCCTCCATTCTACTTACTGAGACCATGAACATGTTGGAATCTGAAATCACAATCCATCATCTGATCCTCCAGGAGTTCTCTAGGTGGCTGATGGATCCAGTGGACTGGTCCAGTCATCAAGGTTTCATGGAACAGGGCTGGGTGATGGGTAGTAGGTGCCTGAACAACCAAAGAAGATAGGGTCTTAAAGATATAGCTTTCACTATAAAGCTTTCACTATAATTTGGGGTTCTAGAACTTTTCAATGGTCAATTTCCTACACTATCTGAATTCCAAACTTCAACCCTGAACTAAACATAGCGACCTCTGACTCAAACTCTTAACCAAAATGCTAAAACCCCACTTACTTACTCATTTCTTTATCTGTAATGAAATAAAGTCTGAAGCAAATGTCACCATTAGTAATGTCGGGTCATCTAATTTCTATGTCATACCTTTAAATGTATATCATGAAGCTCAGTTTGGAATTACATACAAGAATCAATCAGCAATATATCACGATAAAAGATCAAGCTGTTTTATTCAACAAGAGCCAATCATCAAAAAATAATAGTAACACCATACCAGTCGAAAAACTGGAACCAACTGGTCGCAAATTTGAGTTTTTCTTGTAACTGGAAGAACATTACAATATCACATAAATGACACTATTGTTACTCATTTACCCATTCTAAACCTCAGAAACATTAAATCTACAAGTTTGAAACTCCATACGTAATCTCATTCCAGTTGCTTTTAAAATGCAGTCATTGACAGATCATAAGATTGCGTTGGCCTTCATAGACTCCCGTATATTTTCCATGCAATGTTTTCATGTTTCCATATTTTTCACGATTTATTGTAGAGGCAAATCTTACCACAAAGACGGTATTATTCTCAGCATCCTTGTCCACCACAAACCACCTTTCCTTCATTCCACCGATGTTGGCTCCTTGACCAAGAGTGAATAAGAAATGACCTGTCGATAGAGGGGGAAATATTATCAAGATTCATACGTTTTATGGAGAAAATATGAATTAAATTGTCTTGTGCCATGAAGAAGGAATTCCCAATGGGAATTAAACTCAAATGTCTGCAAAATCCTCTCTCTCTCTCTCTCTCTCTCTCTCTCTCTCTCTCTCTCTCTCATGAGATGCATGTCATAAATGTATTCAATTATTCATACATTTAAATTCAAATGAAAGGGATATCCACAGACAATAACTCTCCAACATTTATCTGTACTTAAGAGAAAGAAACCTTTAATTATTCACAAAGTTGTTGAGAGATAGAGAATGTTGATTTACCTTGATGTTCACCTACTGTTTTATTATCCTCTACAGAAATGAAAGATCCTTGTTTGGGCTCAAGATACTGTCAATAATGGAAACAGATAACAATAATTGGTGAAGAAAACATAAGAACTTTGCTCATTTCTGTTATCTTTAAACAATGCTACGTATATACCAGTACACACAAAGCATATGAAGTGGTTTGAATGTAGACTGCTTCCAGGTAATATTAAGTATTGGTAATGAGGGATAATACAGAAATAAAATTGCACTTAATTTTTACAACTACAAATATATTAGGTTTAGACAAAAATAAATACCAAGCTAATTATCATAAAAGAGTGTCAAACACTACTTTTAATGACTGTGTATTCTAAAAAGTCTTGGTGATTGAAAATGTTGCTGGTCCAATCATCTGACCTGTATTATAAGCAATTAAGAATTTATTTCAACACGGTGCTCAATGTTAACATCTTTGATTGTTTGATTTTATACTAAAGGGACTTAATATACCTGTTATTGGTAAATGAATAAATTTAAAGTGAAATACCTACCTCCTTGATAAAAGTTGGAAAATGTCTTCTTCCGATAAAACATATTCCCATACTCTGTAATGAAAGAACATAAGTATATAGTTAAAATATAATAGCTATATAAAGTGCAATCTAACATTCTACAGT